ATTCATGAAAATCTAATATTTTTGTAATATAGATGTCGGCCATTTTGGATCCACCAATTTGAATTCAGGTCGGTGTCTGTTAAGGGTGAATGGATCCATTAAGACGCGTGTTTGAATGTTTTGTCGTGTCGGTGGCGGTACGTGTTGTTGCCTGCGCGTGTCGTACAGTCTGAATCGACCTTTTTAAGCGGTCTAAAGGGTCACACGGATTACTCCGACGTGATCGCGCGTCATAACACGCACGATATGAAAATCCAACACGTTTCCCGTCAGCTCTCCTCGAAATCAACGATTCTTTGGATTCTCAGATGACGCAGGAGTGTCCGGTCCGACACTCAAGGATTCCATCTGGGTGGAGGTCTCCGCAGCAGCTGACCCGACGACAAGGAGCCTCCTACATTCCTGCACCGTCGCGGCTCAGCTCGGCAGTCGCTCCTCGAAAGCTCGAACGCGCGAAGGAGAAGCGGTTCCGCGCGCGTGACACGTCCGCGCCTGTGCGGGCACCGAATCCTACAAGCCGTAGGCGCATGTCCGCGTCGGCGAAAGTTCCCGCACGGTCACTTCGCGCCGCGACACCGTGAGACACTGGATCCGCGTAAACGCGGCTAGTCCATGTGCGTTCGACGTCGTCGCGTGCGACGCGGACGACGACGACGACGACGACGCGTCGCTGAATGCACCCTCGCGCGTTTCCAAGCAGTTTTCAACGCGGCCAACCCGTGCGCGTTTCTATCCCGTCGCGCCTGGTACCATTAGTCCGGCACGATTAGTCCGGCACGATTCGCCCGTGGAACCGTCGCTATGAATTAGAACGCACGGAAAAGATGCGACGAGCAAAGGACAGCGAGGATGATCCTCGAGAAGGATTCGCCAGAGGTCCAGCAGGACTCGGAGCGTGGCTTCCAGCGTGGTTCCGCGAGAATGTGGCCTGGTTCGATCGCAACGGAAGCGCGACTACGTGTTGGAATGTTTTGTGAAACGGTGAAACTCTGTTGCTGTTCCGACACCTTTGCGCGTCAATCTATCGCGGATCTGTCGACGGAATTCGAGTCGTGATTCGTCAGCGCGAGTATCGCAGTGCTTCGCTATGAGTGACGCAAGTGATCTACCAGGTGTTCCGCGCGGAAGAATCCCGGTCTGAAAATTACCGTGGACAGACACGTAGACACATTTCCTCCTCGAACGAATGCGACCTGGGAGAACTGACTTCCATTTGCGACTCGTGATTAGTACCAGCAGTGCTCTACTGTGATTCAACTGATCCGTGTACCAACCCAGATCTTCTATTCCAAAAAGGATCGACGTTGTCGACCACTGCAAAGAACACCGTGCAAGACGCTCTTCTTTTTAAACTCTAAGCTTCCCACTCGAATCAGCTCGCGATCTCCGGGTTGCTAGTTTGACAGTGCAATCTCTCCGGGTGATGATAGACTACTTGCGTCAGGCCATGCACAACACGTTCCGAAACAGAGCGCGTTAGAGAATAGAGAGCTTTAGAGAATAGAGAGCTTTAGAGAGAGAGAGAGAGAGCTTTAGAGTCGGACGTTGGATAACGCGGACCAGGTTGCGTAATAGGAAAAGGCAACGCGGCGATCCCGGAGAGTGCGGAAAGCCAAAAGTAACGGAGATTTTGGCGCATATTAAACGCGATCTGTCGTCGCGTCGACGTCGGTCCGTTTCGTTGCTGTGCGCGCCGCGGACAAGCGGATCGAGAGTGGAACGAGTGGACAAAGTGTTAAAAATGCTGTGTCGCTGGCTCGCCGTCCTGGTACTCGCTGGTTTTCTGCTGGTCATCGAAGGGATCGCGGTCGGCCAAGGTACGTGGAACAGCCTCGAGCGTACGTCGTTGAGGGAATAGACACCGGTAATGCAGCGAGGTGACATTACCGGCAAAAGTGGGCCTTAAAAAGGGTTTCGCGATTTGTCGCTTTTCGTCCTTATATTAGCATAATTTGGACGGAACGAGGGCTCGTTCGAAAGAGGAAGGATCACAGTCTCTCTTCCTTCCTCGTCGAGCTGTTTCTTTCTACTTTCGTCGTCGAAACTCTAGCTTTGCGCTTGGACGCGGTTCGATCCCGGTGCGAGCCACTTTTTTTTTTTTCTTTACTTTTTCTTCCGTTTGTATCGTGTTTTCTTATGGAAACTACCTTTTTACGTATCGAGATTATTTTTATACGATATCGTGCAATTTTTATGTTTTTTCTATCGCTTTGAAAACGAAGTCGTGACGCGAAAGGAGCTTCTACACGCTTTTATAAAAACTTACGTCCTTATAGCTCGTAAATAACAATTTAATTATATTAAATGAACGTTGCACGATTTCTTTCTTCTTTTTGCTTTTTCTTTTCTTTCTTTTTTTTTCATCCTTCTTTCTTCTGACTTCATTTCCAATGCGATAGAGAAACATGAGAATTGCACAATATTCTATAAAAATGATCTGAATGTATGATAACGTAGTTTCTTTAACAAAACATGGTACGGACGGGAAAAAACGTAAACAAATATAAACGTAAACGTAAAAAATAAGCAATACGGCACTCTATTGACTGTGCCACGCTGCTTCTACGACACCTCCGACTCTTGTACAGCTCGACACTCGTCGATCGAAGTTTAGCTAATTTTTAAATTTTAATTTTTAATTTTTAAATTTTTCAAAATTTATTTCTCGAAAACGAAAACAGAGTCGCGCCTTCTCACTCGCGGAGATTGTTCTACATACCCTTCTTTGCGTGTGAACAAATTTGATAAAATAATTCGGGGTACACTGGGCGATGTCTCCTTGTAAGCTATGCGAACGTGGGACCTGACTTAAAAAATTAACTCTTTTTTTTACGGAAAATGATGGTATTTCGTTTGTTAATACTAAAATTGAAACGAAACACTGTCATTTTCCGTAAAGAAAAGTTGATACAGTTGGGTGTCGGATTCACGTACCCTAGCAGCACAAAATATTGAATACGTATTCATCCGATAAAAGAGATTGAATTTAATTTTAATATTTAAGTATACACATGATGTTTATTCTAGATTTAAAAGAAACTATTTTCTTTGTCAAGTATAGAATGAATATCTATTCAATATTTAGAACGGAATATTTGTTCCCAAATATAAAATACATATTTATTTGGTATTCATAACAAAATATCTTTTCACGAATATAAGATAGATATTTATTTAATACTCGCAACGATATACTTTTTCCCCGAATATAAAATATATATTAATCCGATATTCAAACATTCCTACCGAGGTAAAACGAATCGAAGTAACTTGTTTCGATTGAATCCAATCGCAAGAAATAAAGTAATCAAAGTGAAACAATAAATTCAACACAATACAAGATTGACGTAATTTTTTTTGCCGAATCTCTTAATTTTCAAGATTCATTCGACATCGAGTGTTCAATACGCAATTCAACATTCAATTATCTTCTAAACACAAGTTTCTTCTAAACATTCGCGTTATCCGAATATTTTCCAAACGCTTCTTTTAAAATACTTATAGGAAATAGAAATAATGTATTTTTCACGTTACATAGGTATCAGTTTAATAATCGATTAGTATCAACTAAAAAAGTAACTCGTATCAAGCTTCCTTATTTTTATAAATGAAATCAGGGTGTACAGGACGTATAAAAATTATCGGTCGCCACTTTCAGGGGTTATTGTTGCAAAAAAAAAAATCTCAAGATCCATTATGACCTCGAAATTTCAAGATCAAGGTTTTTTCTTAATTTCAAAAAATTCTACTCGAGGATTAGGCGAAAAGCTTCGAAGGAGCCACATGCCGGAGACGAACCGTTGTCGCGTGAAAAATTCTTAAAGCTTTCCAAATTCTCGCGGAGCGACTCGCGAGGCGCCGCATCGGCGCCAAAGGGTCCCACGTGTTCCGTATCTAAGCGTGCACGTGGGAGCGTGTGTGTGTGACACGGACAGGCAGCAGAGAATCCGCGAAAGAGCGGATCCCGGGGGAAAAGGTGATCCCGAGGGAGTGGTAATCTTCGTACTTGCATTAAACAGCCTATCGATTTATTTTCCGGGCGTCGTTAGCTCCGATAGCTAATTGTCAACGACTCGTCGCAGGCTCGTCGCGGGAAACCATCGTCCGACTAAATACTATTGCCGCGTGTACTTTCGTTCGACTGCACTTTCGATCGACTGCACTTTCGATCGACTGCACTTTTGTAGCGGGTGAAAAATGAAAATACGTTGTCCTTGTTCGCGAACATGTATCGATGGACAATCCAAGGGCGCTCGCGACAGTACGGCACCGCTCGCCGCGCTGTATCAATACCGCGACCATCGTCACCGGGTTGAAGTGCTTGCGGAGAGCTTTTTAAACGGAATGTAAAAATTCGAGTACGTCCCAGTTTCGAACGGTGAAATTCGCCCGGGCACGCAGTGTCATTCTAGTTTTTCACGCGTCGCGTCACGACCAAAGTGTCCAGAGATAAATTCACGTCGGAAATTAGAAACTCGCGGAAAAGTTTCGCGCGGAATGGCGCGGCGACCACGGTTATCCGACGAGGAAACTTTTGCGGAAAGCGTTGGTGCAAACAGCAACGGAATACCGTGCGCAGCCATTACGCAAAGAGCGTACAATTATCACGATCCATTCGTGAAACGAACGTATCGCGAGTACCGTCTCGCGCGCGTTTCGAACGATTCCCGATAATCGACGCCGTTGATATCGACGCGAGTCGTTCGACTCCCGATGCTCGACTCTCGCCTCGAACGTCTCGATCGAAAGTTACGGAAAGTTCGTAGATGTTAACGGAAAGTTTCGCGACTATGCGAGATCGCTCGGACCGTTTCGCGCGAAATTTCGTTGCGGCCACTCGAGCGACGTGTGATTGTGTAATTACGAGCGGTGATTACTTGCTCCGCCGCGGTGTGTCACCGCCGCCTCGGACATTGCATTTTCCGTCAAACGGACGTCGGGCCGCAGTCGCTTTTAATTATTCAATTAGGACGCGTACTCCGTAAAACGCTATCGCGACCTCGTTTAATTTCTAAACACTCCAGGATAAACGCACGCGCGCGTTCTCCGGCTTCTTTTCATTATTAACGCGCCGTTTCTACGTTCGAATTAGACGTAGCTCGCGACGTGTCCTGTCGTACTAGACGTGACTAGGCGTATTAGACGTGAACCGATGGATTCTGATGACGCGAGTCAGAAATCGACGGATCTCTAGGTGACAACACCGATGAACAACTTTCGGCGCGGCGCTAGGTAAAGCTCGTTCATCGTCGCGTATTTCGGCGCAGCGGATTGTTCGTATCACGTGCACGCGTCCCGGTAACATTAAATCGATTCTCGTTCGCGCGTGATTCACCACGGCGAATCGAATCGCGAAGCGGTCCGCGTGGATTTTTCCCGCGTAATCGACCGCTCGAAACTCGTCGTTTGTCCGGCACGTGAACCGGGTCTGATTTAGGTTTAGGTTTAGATTTCGGCTAGGTCCGAGTTACGATGCGCGTATTATAGAGGATATTTACGCGAGCGCTTCGTGCATCGAGTGTTTCGATGAAACGTCGGAAATTTGCTCGTAGAACGATACCGCGAGAGATTGATCGATCCCCGGCGATCAAACGTTAACGTTCCGGAAACTTTCATAATTCCCCGACAAATAATCATTATGAAACTGACGCTGATATAATCTGTCGAACAAACACGGAGTTAACGCGCGGAACGGTACGCGGGCCGAGCAATAATTTTATTAGGCGCCGACACCGTCGACGCGAGATATCGACGGTCATTTTCGGGCGAAACGAGCGACGCGGACGCGCGAATAAAGCACGAACGAGAGCCAGCCGACGCGACGCGGTCGGAATCTTGTTTGTTCGTGTCGACGGAGAAAATTACGCGCGTACGTTGTTCGAGCTGTTGTGTTTGCGCGGTTCTCAGCTGTTTTCGCGGGACGCGTCCGGCGGGACCAGCGGAATATAATTGCTATAAGACCCGATTCGCGTGGTTACTTTGGAATTACTTTGGTCTGTTGAGGCCCTACTACCCTTTGAAAATACGGGATATATAAAAATTAGCGTAGGAATCGAGAATTGGGGGTAGCCGAGACGATTCCGAAGTAAAATTTCCTTTGCTTAAATGTCGGACGGTGCTTCGTTTTCGAATTATTAACGATAAACCACCGATTAATCGCATCCAGGACGCTCGGGTCGGCCATTGCGTCGGCCGTCGTTGAAACTTGAGATACGGAAAATTCTATTGGAATAAGTAACTTTGAAAGAAACGAGTATACAGGGCGTCCCAGAACTCCTGTAAGAGGAAACGAGGGGCAGTTGACACGATTCTGAACAACAATTTCCTTTGCAAGAAAAACCACCGACCAATCACAGCGCAGAAGAAGCTGCGAGAGGCTGAGCCCGAGCTTCCCGGCTCGAGCTGGCCAATCGCGGCTGAGCGCGCGATACTAGTGCGCTGTGATTGGTCCGTGTTTTTCGTTAATAATTTCAAAACGAAGCACCGTCCGACATTTGTGCAAAGAGAAATTGTGCTTCGAAATCGTCTCAGCTCTCGTTACCGGTTCTTGCACTAATTCCGGGCCACCCTGTGTGTAGCTACAGCACCCGAGGACTTTGAAAACATTGAATTAGTATGTACTTGGCACTTGGAAGTAGCTGGTATTCGGTAGTACTCGGTAGAAATAAAATAGAGAAAATGGGAAACGTTATATCGCATCGGTAAGTTTCACTCGGTCGTTTCGCAAGCTGCAAGAACGGTTTGTCGTCGAGCTTTTTCAGTTTTCCTAGCTCCACGTTCTCATTTTTCGTCCCATCGGATTGCATCACGTGCCAGG